CATAATCAAACAAATGCTGTTGATGTTTGGAATTATCGTTCCGATAAAAATAAAATCGCTACAAATATGACCGGCCCCTGCAATACCCTACATCCGTTTCATCGTTTCCAAGTCGTTTCATTTCGTTTCAGTCGTTTGTTAAAAAATCGTCCTGGTGGTGGAGGTGGCCTTACTCTGCACGTGTGTGTGTGTCGCACGTGTGTGCTGGTTCGCAACGTGGCGTGCAGCATAAGCCGCGTTCACCGGACGGTAGCAAAGGAAATCCGTAATTTAGCGTTCCACACCGACCACCGCAAAATGCGCGATTTCCAAGAAATCACGGTATCTAAACAATCCGGTTATTTCGATGTAAATATCGCGGCTTCCCCCCGACCCCGCGAATAATTTGCCCGTGCTTGAGAATACCTGGATCCTCTTGGCACCGCGCAAAATTTCCCTCGTGTAAAACGTCAAAATAACTCGGGGGCCCGTTGAGAAACCTTCGTAAAAGAGTTACCGATTAATTTTTAAGTAATATATGTTCAGTTAGGTTGATATTTTTAAAGTAGCGGTTGCCAGGAAAAACCCAACTTAAATCTAAACTTAACTGTAAGTAAATAACTTTACGATAACAGGACTGTCCAGTCAGCAAGGGCTTGCTGATTGATGGGAATCGATCACAGTTGAAAAATTCTATAATTCAAATACACCTTTTATTGTATCATCACAAGTAATTTGTATGCATAGTTATGAATGCGCTAATAACCAATAATAAAATAGAATATTTGATGCAAAACTGAACTAAAACGGTCGTGAATTTATTCTGCACCCAAGGTTCTGCCAATCAACAAGAACAAAATTCCTCCAGCACTGTAAGTCAATGTCCGTCAACGAGGACGCAAAGAGTCCCGTGTGGGTCCAAGTGCAAAAAGTATTGTTAAAAACTAAGAGAAAAAATCCAAATAACGGCATTTGTAAAATTGTTTTTTGACAACCTTTTTTTTGCTTCTAGCGATATCAGTAATAATTAATGTTTTTGACTGTGTTTTTTTCCAAAGAAAAAAAACATGATAATTATCAGATTAAGATATAAATATAATATCACTATAATTGTACATTCTGTAGTCCTAAAGTGTGTTATGTTCATCTTAATATTAAAGTTAAAGTGGACCGGGTCTAGGAATCTCTTTTAAGTTTAAGAGAAAAGTTTTCTACGAGAATTTTTAATTCCTCCTTAACTTACTTGAAGTAGTTTCTGGCAACGCTTTACAGACGAAATAACTTAAGTTTATAAGGTTAATGTTAAGGACTAATGTTTTCTTTCTGGCAAACGGGCCCCGAGTTCTGAAAGCGCCCGCGTACTATGTTATGAGACTGGTCCGCGCGCTCGTGGACAGTTCCAGTGTTAAAAAGACGCGAGTGGAACCTGTCCGAGCGCGGACCAGTCTACGTATTTATCTGGCAAGGTGGTGCGCCAATGTTGCATTGTTTTTATTTTCTGGGCAATTGTTCGCTTGATTGTTTTAAAGCCAGTCTCGCAGCGTCGCAAAATGCCGTATTTCTGGAGCCGCGAATCAGCGTGTGAACGCTCGGCCGCGTATTTGTCTCAGATTCGGTATTTCGCAAATACCGTATTTCATAAATACGAGGTCTCGTGTGAACGAGGCTATTGTATTATATATCTACTTACTATGATCAAGCTCAAATCACTCAACACAATGCACTCAAAACAATGCGCTCAAACACAATGCACTTTTTTCTGCATGACGCGGTATGGTACTGTTCTAACTGATTGGAAAACTGTAGGTACCGCAGGTGGGGACAGAAGCACGACACTGCAACGCTTACATGGAGCGTGTTACATAGGCCAACTAGTACTAGGGCCTAGTATTTTTGCCAGTCATGCAACGATTTTTTAAGGCTAGTTTTTCTGATAAAGATTGTCCAGAGGTAAATTTCACTGTAGGATTACATAAAAGATCATTTTCTGCTAAAAATTTGGAATTCCATCTTGCATTCTAGACATCAAAATTACTGCTCAGATGCTCTCAAAATGCACCAATTTTTAAAAATGTTTTTGGGGGAGGTCCCCCAAACCCCTCCTAAGTGGCGGCGTGCCTTGAGCAGCTTTTTAAAACATCAAAAAAATTAAGCAGGAAAAAGTTCCCTTTATTTCTTCCTGGACACCCCCTTTCAAAAATCTTGGATCTGCCCCTGTAATATGAGTGACTTCAATACAGACCTTGGTCAGTCTTTTGTGAGAAATGTTCATGCTAGAGGGATACGTGAATTCGCAGCATGCATGGATTCGCGACACTCATATGATTACTCTATACAGAGATACTAGTTCCACCATATATGTGATGATTAGGTTTGTCTGTCGTCCCCAGCTGGCTTATGCACATAATTCATTGTCATCAGTGATCCGCAGGTGATCAGGTGTCAGCTGATAAATAGAACGCCTAACGTAGAACGTACAAGGGCTGAAATTAATGGGATCTAGACAGGACTAACGAATTTACTAATTTCGGCAGTTTCTACGTAATAATGGCTTCTTGGAGCCATAGGTGAGAGTTGGTTACATAGCGAGGATTAGTGCCAGTAGTCTATCCAGAGGATGTGGCTGACTACTGAAACAAGTGCTACCTCTCCTACCACACCCCTAGACCCCATGCATATTAGGTCGCTACAGGTGTGATTTGCTTTATAATTCATGTATATTTTCGAATAAAATTTGCATATGAAGCTACAATGGTATTTGTATGCATCTACGTATTAAAATACATAAATTTTGTCTTCAAAACCATATAATTTGGTTCATAGTATCATGTTATATGTAAATTTATGAAATATCATACCAGAAATGGGGCCATCTTGGAAAATGGCGGCCATCTTAAATTTTTGCATGGCTAACATTTCTTTATGAATAAGCACCCCATGGAGGATATATGTACCAATTTTTGTGCTTGTGTGACAATTTTAACGATTCTCCTAATATTTGTATGTTATAGGCCTATACCTGCCCCACTATAATATATATTTTATCGGTTTATTTTACATTGGAGCGACATATGGCGTATTACGTCTAACGTTATTTCACCCAATATATTTTGTGTAGGCTTATCCTATTATTACGGATACATCGGTGTACGGTATACAACGGAGAGCAGTCCTAAAATCTGTACTGAAAGATGGTGTCCCATCAGACACATGCTACAATCTCCTTTTCCAACAATAATTTATTCTGAAATAAAATATGTTTGAAAGCTCATTAGCTATTCAGAATAACTACGACGATATCTGTAAACGTCAATCTGGCTACACACATCTCGCGCTTTCCTCAATAAAAATCATGGATGAATCTATTTAACATGTCAATAGCTTTTCTGAATAAACACGTCGTGATTAGCATTAATATGGATGGCTACGCATGGCGTGCACGGGAGCTATTAAGCTGAACGAGCAACGATCGCAAATCTCAGAGCGTCGTATGCTGCTACCATAGAACTACTAGAATAGAAGAATACCATAGAAACGAGAAATAGAATACCTCTATTCTAGCTCTATGGCTGCTACCCGTCACCGTGGCACGGTCGATCCCTCGAGAAGCGGAGTCTTAATTTAATTTGCCACCATATTTCTACAAAAAAAACCTAGTTCTTTTCTACACCTAATACGATTTCTGCCCCAACTCCTTGTTGATTCGATTGACGTATCATATCATGCGCGTGCCTGCTTCGTTTGGTCTATTGTAAATGGCATCGCAGCTGCAGATGGCAGCACAAACGGCGATTTCCTGGCATCGTTCAATATCACGCAAGTTTGACGTCAGCGATCGAACGCGCGGCGACCGGAAATCGCAGATATCGGGTATAGAAGACGACCGGAAATCATAGACGTTCAGGATAGAAGACGCGCGGCGGCCGGAAATCGTAGTCGTCTCGGATAGAACACGTGCGGCGACCGGAAATCGTAGTCGTCCAGGATAGAACACGCGCGGCGACCGAGAAGCACAATCACACACGCACACGCACACGCACACGCACACGCACACGCACACGCACACGCACGCACGCGTGCGCGCACACACACACACACACACACACACACACACACACACACACACACACACACTATATATATATATATATAT